GCCACGCCACGCGACGCGGAAAGTGTCGAAAACTTTTCACGGTTACTCGGACGGACGCCCTGTCACATGGCTGACAGACAGACAGACGGACAGTGTCTTCCACTTCCATTCGAAACGCTTGACGGCTGCATTATTGATGGAAAATACTGTCCGTTCGTCCGGTCTTCGATATTCGGTCTCCGGGTAGATGGAAACTCCATTCCAATAAACAAATAACCACAAATTCCCCAAAAATGTTCTCAAGTTCCATTCGATGGTTAATTAATCGATGGAATGTGCGTGTATCCCTTTCGTGTATAAATAAATGTATCGAATACAGTCGCCCAGGCACCCCCTGCCCATTTACACTGCACTCTATCCGTATCCGTAGCCGTACCCGTACCCGTACCCGTACTCGTAGGAGGGTACGGGCCTCCCTGGGGGCAATCAGGAAATGCGTTACCAACTTTTCGCGCCCGTGTTTTTCGTACACCAGCAATTGGCCATTGAGTACCCTGTAATGGGCACCCACATCGAAGGGAATGCTGGGTGGGACAGAGACAGAGAGAGACAGTGGCCTTTGAGGGGATCTCTTCGGGATCGTGTGCCCTCTGTGTCCTGTTGGGTGTCCCTTCCACCAGAGGGTACCCTTAGAAGGTACCTCTAGAGGGTACCCTTAGAAGGTACCTCTAGAGGGTACCCTTAGAGGGTATCGGTCTGCCGCTTGTTTAAACAATTTCCTTCTTTTTTTCAGCGCTTGGTTTATGTGTTTTAAAACATATACGATTTTTGCTGATTTTTTGTTGCGGGTCTCCTGGAAATGTTTGTGCATCCGATATACGGAAAACAAATGCAATCGCCAGTAGTGGCCAGGGGGGCGTGACGTGCTGGACAGGGGGGGCGGTGGGGGTGGGTGGGGTTTCAGACAGATTGCTTTATCTCGCTGGCTACTGCTGCGTTTTGGGGGTTTCGTAATATTCCCGAATGTCAGTTTGATGGCCAAAAAATAGTACGAAAAGTTTTGCGTGGAAACGCGCGCGCAAACAAACAACGCAAAAAACTTTCGCCATTTAATTGGAAAATTAAATTTTCCGCTGGCTACAGCGCCGAACAATGAAGGGGGAGCAGTAGGTGGGGCTGGAGCAATTTGCAGTGCAATCAACGCGTGGGAGGGGCATGCAACCCAGTCCCAGGTAATATCTAAAGTAAAATGCATTTAAAATATTTTCTGCATTCCCGGGGAAGGGGAATGGGAAGGGGAAGGGTCAAGTGTCATGTCAAGTGTCGACGCTCCAGTGCCCCACGTCCTGCCCCACGCCCTGCTTATGCAATTTTCCAAAATGACTCGGAATTCATTTGACAAATTGTCCGTTCCAGAGGGTGCGGTGCATCATTCCATTCCTGGGCTCCTGGGCTCCTCGGCTCCTCGGCTCCGAGTGGCTGTCCGGTCCGGTAGGGTTTGGTCCTGTCCTGTCCGGATTCGTTTTGTGCTCTGTCATTGGTCAAACAAGTGGCAAAATTAAATTTAACAAGACGCCCGTCACCGAGCAGGAGACGAGCAGGAGGACAAGGAGGACAAGGACGATGCCACATTGTTTAAAGTGCTTAACAAGCAACACGAGAGGGGCAGAGGCGGGAGAGACCACAGTCAGCTCAAGCCAACACCTTAACAGGGCCTGCTGCTGGTCCTGCTGCCGCCCTCCCGCCCAGCCGCCCAGCCCAGCCAACTCTGCCAAAGAAGTGGCATGAAAAATGAAATGAAAACCAGCAAGTAACCGCAATCATTGCACGACTCGCCACTCGTTAGCAGATGCTGTGGCATGCCAGAGACAGAGACAGAGACAGAGACAGAGACCAAGAGAGAGCGAGAGAGAGAGTCCAGAATGCAGTCCTCTCTTGCCACTGCCACTGCCACTGCCTCCTGCCGCCTGCGGGCGCTGAACTCATTTGGCTTTGGTGTCGGCCTCTCCTCTGCTTAGCAGCACTGAAATTGCTACAAGTGCTGCCCAGTCGTCAGTCGTCAGTCGTCAGTCCGTCATCCCAGTCAGCATTCCACCAGCTCTCCCCGGCTCATCTCATCTGTTGGCCTTCTGATTTCTGTTTGTGTCCGTCTCTGTCTTCCTGTCCGTCTCCCTGTCAGTCAGGGAGAGCCAGGGAGATGCAACGTTGAAGGAACTTTGATTTTGCGGTCATTCGTTGGGGAGGAGGGCCGCCCCCCAGCCCCCTAGCCCCTTAGCCACTCAGCAGCCCCTGCCCCCCGTTTTGCATTAGGTAATTACTTCTTTGTGACGCTCGATGAAGTGCAAATTCATTAAGCCTGATGCACTCTCATTCTCGTATCTCTCTGCCGCAGCACGCCCCCTCCCCCACCCCCCGTTGTGGCATTGCGGGAGTTTACAATAATTAATCAATATGCTGCTGCTGCTGCTGCTGCTGGCGCTGGCCGCTTACACATATTCACAATTACATTTAATCCCTTTTTGTTATTTTTTATTCCGCCCGAATGACCGAAAGCCTGGCCGTTAATTTGTTTTCTCTTGTAATAAATCGAAATTAAATTTGATTTCGCTGAGTCACATGTGTCGGAAAACATTTGTAGATGACTGTGTAAGGACGTGTTCATGGTACAAGGCCACCAAAATGATGGCAAAAATGTTTTTAAATGCTGCAAAATGGCGAGGAGGAGCTCAGAGAACAGGCTCTTCCTCGAAGAACTTCAGAGATACTTCCTTGGATCCATCATGCATCCAAGGGACACTCGAAGGAGGTGTTGTCCAGCCCTTTCCCTGCATTCGTTGCAGACGAGCCTTCTGGAGCTGGGACCAAGGATGCACTCCTGCTCTTTTAGGAGCTTTTCCATCGTGTTTTTCAAAAGAAAACTAAATTTATTTGATAAATTAATCAATTATCTACAAGATGATCTAATTTTTAAAGGCCTGACTTTGCTCCATTATTTTTCGCAATTTTGTAAACGTAAAAAGGTCTGAGACCCCTAGCTATGGGCTCCTTCTCCTCCCGGATTCCACTATAGATTCTTGATTTCATAGCCGCCATTCCTGGGCCCAACAACAGGTGGCCCAACGAATTCCTTGGCTGCTGGCCATCTGCTCCTTCTGGCCATGTCCTCGGGGCGGGGAAGTGGTGGCTTGCATCGGATTATGCCTGTAAAATGCACTTCTGAGAGAAGGACAGTGCCTGGCTCTCAAAGCGGATGCCGCCCCGCTCCAGCCCCCCTAACGAAGCCATAATTTCGAGGACGAGAGCATTTCCTCTGCAGGAGCACGTGGCTGGTCGCTGGCAAAGGAATAAACTTGCTTATTGCATTGAAATGCAATTCCGACTTGCACTTGCACTTGCACTCCTTTCATCCTTTATCCTGCTGCTGCTGCTGCTGGGGGGGGGGGGGGGGGGGGGGGATGGGTCAAATAAATTTCGCACAGAAGCCAAAAAAGAAACGGAAATTTCGCTCTCATAATTTCGTTGGTAGATTTTATAATAAATAATTTTTCACTAAAATTCCAACACACACACACAGAGACAGACAGAGAGACAGGGGCTGTGGGACTGGGGGGTTGGGGGGTGGGGGGTTGGGTGGTTGGCCACTCAATAAAGAAACAGAAAGAAGCACAACACAGCAGAAAAGAGAAGAGAAGAGCCAAAGGACGAACAAAGCGGGAAGCGAAAGCCGAAATACAAATAAATATGGGGCAGAAAAAGCGAGCAGAAAAAAACCCGAGAAAAAAAGGGCGAGAGAGGGGGAGGGGCAGGGGCAGGGCGAGAGAGTATTGGGAGAATAAGTGCATGCCAGAAACAGAAACACTCAAAGTTTATGAAAGGCGCGTCGTCGGTCGTCGGTCGTCGGTCGTCGCCGCCAAAGTTTTCCACGCTCCCTATTTCCCGGTGGGGCATACACGACCGGCCATCGAACGGGGCACCTGATTTGAGGGAGGGATTTTCAGGGCCCTGAGATGTCTGTGGCCCCAATCTTGTAATGGTATAATCGTTGTACAGGAAAGAGAGTTCCTTGAAAGAAGAAATGTGCAAAGATGCTAAAATCGCATTAAAGAACAAGAACATCCCATGAATCGTAGCACTCCTATATCCCTCCTACAACCCTCCAATATCCCTCCTACAACCCTCCGATATCCCTCTTGTATTCCTCCTCTACAGCTCCAATATCCCTCCTATATCTCTCCCACAACCCTCTTGTATCCCTCCTACAATCCTTCTCTATTCCTCCGATATCCCTCCTGTATTCCTCCTCTACACCTCCAATATCCCTCCAATAACCCTCCCACATCCCTCTTGTATCCTTCGACCAATTCTCAGCTCCTTCAGACACTCCCCTATCGAAGCATAGCCACAATTCGGTGTGCCCAAATATTATCCCCAATATATGGTGTATTTCCTTCTGGACTGCCACGTAAAACAAAGTATATCACAAGACCAGGGCCCTCGTAGACGGGTCTAAGGACACCGCCGCATATGGGTGTGTGGGGGATGGCGGTGGGGGGGGGCCATGTATCGCCAATTACTGTGTCTGTTTGAGCGTACAAAGCGTTTTATGAACCAACTCCTCAGACTTCTTCTGAACGGACGCGGACACGGACACGGACACGGACCGCTCGGACCGCCGTGGACCCCCGAGCCGGACCGTCGCCTCTCGCCCTCCTTGGCCCTGATTTTCTCCATTTTCCAATGCCAGTCACGCTTGGACTTTGTCGAAGAACAGTGCCCCGCTAGCCCCCCCTGCCCCCCCGCCCCACAGACGTTGCTCTTGAAGTTTTTTTTCGCTTTTGATTTTATTGCCAATTGACCAACTTTTTGGGTCGATTGCTTGTGTTGTACCAGGGAGGATGTGGCGGCAGGAGCGGCAGGAGCGGCAGGAGTCCTGCTCTGCCGCTTACTTAAAATGCCAAGACAGCTGTCTCAGATGAGGACTATCTGCCGGCATCTGTGTATCTGTGTATCTGTATGCCCCTCTGGGGGCCGGCAGCATATTTAAAATGTCTTGGACTTACCTTGCGGCTGGCCTGTGTGGCCCACGTGGCATCCACCGGACTGACTGTGTGCGCTGCAAGGCGGAGAGAGAGAGAGGAAGAAAAACGGAGGTGAATAATAATAATAAGAATAATACCAGGGCCATGGATAGGGCGGCCACGGGTCGGGTATTAATCAAATTTAAATTGCCTGCGATTGCCGGAGCTATCGACGAGTTTATCGGTTTAGGAATTGGCTTTTGAGCGGGCTTGCCACTTTCCCCCACCCGCCCCCGGGCTCCGATTGGGGCTCAGAGAGAGAAGTATTTCTTGGTGGAGCTTCGGGGACTACAGTCTTGATTTTTCGGTTCGATGCAGGCGATTGTATGTATGTCTGTCCGGGGATGGTAGTCCGTTGGAGTCACAGATGAAGGGGACCCCTCCAAGGAGATCTAAGGATCGAGGATTGCCCCAGTTGTGTGGCAGAAAGTGGCAGCTTCGCCCACACTGATACACTGATTTATCAGTGCCGCCGCCCCTCCTGCCTCCCCTGTGTCGGCTGGGCAACCCTTCGGCGGGCAACAGCCCCTAATTATCGACTTAAGGGCATTACCTAGCCATCACACAGCGGACCGCCAGCCTCTGGGCCCCCAACAAAAACAGAAAAAACCCTCGAAGACCGAGAGGCCGAAAGTCCCTAAGCCGGAAGGGACAGAGGGACAGGGGGACAGAGGGGGGGAATAGTTGTTATAATACCGATATTAAGGATGATCAAATTCAGGACAAAATGGTGGAGTATCCCGCGCATCCGGCGGCTTACCCGGCGCCCTAATATGCGGAGAGCATACACGTAATAAATGCGTGATTATTTGTGGATTTTATTAGCCACAAAGCTGGCAAAGGGGAGGCGGAGGCGGTGGCGGTGGCGGTGGCGAGGAGGGGAGACCCCCGTGTCTAATGCCTGCCACAAACAGAGAGCGAGAGAGAGTGCCCCAGACAACAGCAGGTGGCAGTGGCAGGGCATTGAGGTAATCCTCTTCCAAGTCCTTGCCGCACTTGAGCTTTGTTTTCGTGTCAAGCGGAAGGCAGCCCCGCCCAGGCGGCGGCGGAGCCTTTGTTGATACAAAAGGAATTATGCCGGTAACCAGGTCCCCCCCGGTGGGTCTTTGCCCCGAAGCAGGCGGAATGTGCCCCACATTCTGGAGGATCGTAGCCAGCTGCCGCATGTAGAAACAGGCGAGGGATCGGCGAGGCACACTCCTGCTTGGGACTCCAGGAGCGCCCCCAAAGCCCTCTCCGTTATCCACGAGGATCCCCACGAAGTACAGGCTGTTCCTCAGGGGGCAGGATGCCAAGGATTCGAAAAGAAATGCCTGCAAGAAAGCCCAAGGCCTACGCTTTTCTCGGTGACAGCCGCCATCGATAGGTTTACGGAGTGTGGAAATCCACCTCCACCTCTCCATGTGGCAAAAGGAAACTTTTCCACTCCACAGAGCCAGGAGCCAGGAGGCGGGAGGCAGGAGGCAGGGCAGGGCGGGGGCTGGAGCATGGAGCATGGAGGAGCCTTCGGGCGCATTTTGAAATTAAAAATTTTGGCAGCGACAGGCAGCGCGATGTGTGTTGTGCCCTGGCTTTCTCTTTCTCCTTCGTTTCTTTCTCTCCAGGAATCTGCATATGGAGCGGCACACACACACACACACACACACACACACACACGCACACAGAGAGGACACTCAACAGGAGACTTCGAAAAATGCGCTCATGTCGCGAGTGCAAAACTTTATTGCGCCATATTTTCTCGAGCAGCAGGACACACACACACACACACACACACACACAAAAGGGATGCAATTTTTATCAGGGGGGGCATCCATCCTGTCCCTTTCCCGCTTGCCTTTGTGTTGTTTTGGGGCAACTTTTGACAGGGAAAGGGGGAGGAGAGACCCACCCCAACCCACACCACCCCACCCCCCCCCTTTTCAACCAACAATTACAGGGTATCCACACAGTGTCATCCGCGAGGCGCCCGCGAAAGGGAAGCAAAAATGTTCGCTGCAATTTTCATTGAAAGCCGACGACACACCGAACGATGGGTTGTTGGGGCCATTTTTGGCGAGAGGGGGAGGCAGAGGGGGAGGCAGAGGGGGAGGCAGAGGGGGAGACATACACTTTGAAAAATGGCCTGCAACGCGTTTGCAGGGACACGGGATATGGGATATGGGGAGGCCCTGCCTTTTGGTCGCATTGCGACAATTAAACACACAGACATCCCCCCCCCCCCCCCCCACACACACAACCACCCCCACCCACTCTCTGCCAGCCGGCAAACGGCAAGTGGGAAAAGCATGCGGAAAAGCGGGTCCGGAAAAGCGGCTCAGGCTAACGAAGCTAAATGCATGCAAACAGCAAACATAAATGCTGCAAACGGAACGGAGCCTAAAAGGGTGTCCGCGGGGGGCGGGATACAGGGATATCCATACAGAGGGGGGCGGCGGGGGGGGCTTTTTTAAAGCACTTGAAAATACATACGATTTATTCCCGAAAAAAGAAAAGGAACGAAAAACGAAAGCGAAAAGAGCTTTCCCTCCGCTAATTGTTGCTGCTCCCCCCCCCACCACCTGGGACCACACTCTCCCTCCCTCTCAGTGAATCTTGATCCAAGGGGCATCGCCCATCACCCTCCAAAAGGGGCGTTCGATGTGTGCGTGTGCGTGTGGGCGTGGCAAGTGGCTTAGCACATGTAACACATGTAGCTCCTCGTCGGCTGTGCCACTCAATGGCCATTCGGTGTTCGATGCTTAGCCTCCGCTTAGCACGCGACAGGGGAGGGCGAGGGGAGGAACGTATGGGAGTGTGTGCCCCAGAAAGAGGACTGATCGCAGCCTCAGGAAGCCCCCTTCTACCCCCACCCCCTGATTGCTCCTTCTTCCTTCACTTTTCACTTTTTTGTGGCACACATTTCTGGGTTCCGGGCAGGATGCCCTTTGACCCGTTTTGTGCGCCGCTTCCCCGATCACAGATTACGGCCAATGTCTTGCGATGATGGTAGTTCCCAGCCGCAACAATTGTGCAGCGCTTTTCCCCATTCACTTTCCCCGGCGAGAGGCAGGGGAGGGGGGGGCACTCCCTGCTTCCCTCGGCTGTTGGTTGGGGCCAAAGATGATGGCTTTGTGTCCGAGGCGGAGGCGGAGGCGGTGTAATCAACAGGCTGCTGCTCTTCAGGTTTCTTTCTCCCTCCCCCCCTCACCCGTCGCCACTCTGCTTAAGCGGATTGATTATGGCTAATAAAAAGGGGGGCGGGGGGGGGGGGGGCACAATGGCGGTCGGAAGTGGCTTTCTTCGATGCCGCCTTCCTGCCGGAAGTTCACGAGGGACTACTTGGGCGGGGGCGGGGGCGGGGTCGTGACTGCAGTTACCCCACATAGCGGCAACAATAAGGAAATCGCATGTGAAAAAAGGCCGCAGGACTGTTGCTTTTTCGTCCTCGTCATCGTCCTCGTCGTCCTCGACGTCACAAATGTTTATGGAACCGTAAGCCGCGTATAAGTTTTAACAATGCAATGCAATGCCCCGCCCCCCTCCCCCACCTCATTTTGGACTCCTTCTGGCAGTCAGTGCGGGTCCTGTGGCAAGTCCTGGCAATTTCGAAGGCGTTCAAGTTGAAGTCAAAGTCAAGCGCAGATTCTGCCACCGCCTTCCTGCCGCCTGCCGCCTGCCGCTGCCTCATTTCCCCCCCTTTGTTGGCTGCTGTCTTTGTTGGGTGTTCAGTGGGTGGGGGGGAGGTGGGGGGTTTTGGCAGCCCATCAGTCGCCCGGCGACAGTTTTTCTCTTGCATTTGCTTTTCAAGTGGCAAGTGGCAAGTGGCAAGTGCTTTGATTTGCTTTTCTTCTCTTTTTCCCCTTCTTTTCTCTGCTGCTGTCATTTGTTTGGCTTTGCTTCTCTGCTGCTAATGAACGCAACACCCACACCCACACACACACACACACACACATACATTATAATTTCATTTGTATTTCGATTGGGAAATTCTTTTAGCATTTTCTTAGGCGCACACGACAAAAAAAAAAAAGATTGAAAATTGCAAAACGCGCGAAAGAGCAAAAAGCTTTTGAAGTTTTTTGCATGAATGAATGGCTTCCCGTCCACCCCCCTTCCCCTTCCCCCCACTGCAGTCCCAGTATACGTCTTGGATAGCCCCCTCTAGCCTACCCCCACCCCCCACCACCCCCTTTGGTGGCTCTCCTTTTCCGCACATACATTTTAATTGCATTTTTCGTATCAAATTCATATATTTATTATGTGAGCGAGAGAGGGCTTTTCCCATTAACGAGAGGAAATTAAAACGAAAAACTCATAAAACAACACACACACACACACACACATCCATGGACACATGGGGAACGGGTGGAGGGGGGGGAGAGGGGCTGGATACAGTGGTAACAATTTATGATTGCCGCCCAAGCCGCTAATTGCGTTATTTGTGTCTGTGTGTGTGTGTGTGTGTGTGTGTGTGTGTGGGTGTTTGATTTTCATAAAATTGATATTTTGTTGGCCAATTCCTGGTTCCAGCCTTGGCTTTTGTATTTCCACTCTTTACATTCGGGGGCAGTGGGGGCAGAGGGGGCAGAGGGGGCGCGGGGCTAGAGGGTGGAGGGTGGAGAGAGCTATAGTTATTAATTTAATTCGCATTTGTTTATAGGAGCAAAGCAAAATTCGGTTTTTTTTTCGCGTGACTGCAAAGCAAAGTTAATTTGTTTAAAACACGATTTATTTCGGGACAAAAGCCGCAGCCCCTCCAAGGGGAGCGATAGATGCAGCGATAGATACAGCCCACCCTCCGATGGGATCCTCCGGCAGCTTCGATGCTTCGAAGCGGAGTACAAATGCGGAGCAAGAGATGTGGAGGATCTCTCCGCCCGGAGATTGAATCAGAGAGACAGAGGCTGTGCGGGGGCAAGAAGTTCCAGTGTTGCCTGCTTCCTGCCTCTGGACTCTGCGAAAGGCGTGACGAGTCCACGGCGAAGATCTCTCCCGATGCCTCTCCCCTCCATCTGACCCACTGCTCCACTTCCACTTCCTGGTGGCTCCAGCCGTC